GGCTCGAGGGAACGTCACCCAGCATTTTGGGGACGTTTACGCAAATGTTCGGAGAAACTGCACCCACCACAGCCGTTTGTGTCTCATTAGGAAGGAAACGAGTGCGTTTTGCACTGGGATGTCATAGTATTTGGAAGCCGAACTGGGCCGTCTTAGTAGTTGCCATTTTTTTCGGGGGATCTGGTGTTGTGAGGCGGTCATTTGGATGTGTTTGTTCGGCTGTGCTGCTCGATGTTTGGGTGCACAGGTGGGATTGGTTTTCGGGTGATAATTGGCTGCAGTTTGTGTCAGGCGTGGGCAAGTGCTTCATGAAAGTGATTATTTGCAGACGCGGGAGTCAAGAAGGGCTGAAAATCCATTCTTGAGCCCGAACATTACAGTGGGGCTGATGTCGGACAAATGATCGCGATGTTGACTCCTATGACGGACGTCGAACAAATGATCGCGAAGTTGATGGTCGTACGTCGAACAAATGATCGCGAAGATGCTGCCCCATATAAGAGGTAACTGCTATGTTTGCTTTTCATGTGAAGCAGCGGTGATGCTGAGATACAGTGCAGTGCTCGGCAAAACACTAGGGATGTCTGGTCAATCGCTGTCATACGCCCCTGTGACTTTGACTTTTCACATGGTTTTGTTAGTATTCACGTAGTTAAATTGAGCGTCCGTTGTTAGCAAAACTGCAAATTTCGTCCAAAAAAAAAAATGCTTGAGATGGTTATCCTTACTTATTTTGCAAAAGAAACTCAGTATCGTTAGCGGGGCAACTAAGAAAATTCGGTCCGGTCACTCAGAATGCAACTGTTCGTCGGATATGAACCCCGTGACTCGTATTCATGCACAGCTTATCCAGCAGTAGTCGAATTTCCCGTGACGCGTTTCTTGCTTTGCAGCAGTGATGGCCTCCCAGTTAAATTGAGTACTCCTCTTGCGGAGTTTTTCCCTTGACATTTCGTTGCCGGTTCAGTTTACCACGTTTTTCCACCGCTTCTTGGCCTGTGGCACGGCCAGTGGAGGCGTGAAGTGCTGGGAGGGGTTGCGTGTAGATCAGGAGAGGCTCGGCTTGGGCGATGCTGCGAGTTCGATGAAAGAAATGCCGTTTCGCTGAGGGTTGCGAGGAAAGCAGCGGTGTGGTGAGGCTTATCTGATGAAGGAGCTAGAACTTATTTCTGCTTGCATTATCGTGTTCTCGCATATTGAGCGGTGCTAACTTCTCGCAAGCGATGAATAGGACTGCGTTAAATGATTCTTTTTAGGAGGCCAGAATCGGGGAGCTCAGTTGAGGGCAGCAGTGCTCGATGCTCTGCTGCTACTGTGTCTTCATCCACGCTGGCCGTGATTGTAGAGGCCGAGCCAGTGCGTGTTTATTCGCACTCACTGTGATTTGGGTGTGGAACGTTAAAAGCCCAGCAGGAGCTGCTGTGTCGCGAGGAGTGATTGCGATTTTGTGGGAGCATCGG